CATCCAAGGTCTGTTCTGCTATTTACCCTTAATTAGTGGGTAGAAGAGGATTCATACCTTTCCCAAAGTTATTAACATGTAAGTGAATGTAATGGATTCGACTAGAATTCGAACTCGGCCGACCGATTCCTCAAACCGAGCAGCTATCCATCACTTCACCGTGCCACCATTATTTTGCTGTTGATTACTGTGTTCACGTTTGATTGTGATTATTTGATCAAAGCCTGACTTGTAAAATCCAATAATCGAACCCAGTAAATCATTATTTTTTTTTCTTTCTCAGTTGAGCTTTTTGTTCAGACCAACGAGAATAGACAGTAAACGAAATTTATCGACTAACTGATCTCACGAAGATCAAAAGTGACAAGATGACTGGCGACCAATTTACTTACCAGGAATTGTCCCAAGACTTTCAGGTATGAACAAGTTCATTACTATATCAATCACTCGAACAAATTATCAGCGTTGTGAAGATCTTTAAAATAATCCATCATCATAATCATCATCTCCCATGTCCGAGTGTGGTTGGAGGGTCCGTATGACTCGGTTGCGTGTCAATTCCTGATTATCTGTGAATGGTCTTAGAGTTTATTCAATGACGTTTTCAGAGCATTCTCTCAGATTCTGTTTGTCTCTTCTTTTTCCTAAGGTGGTACCTTGTAGGTTAGCAGTAGAGTGTTTATTAGGTCTTATGACGTGTACATAGCATTTCAAATTTCTCTTTTTCACGGAGCGTATTTTGGTCTTCCAGTAAACCTGATAGTGTCTCTAGCTTTCGCCATTTGTAATGCCATCTACGAAGAAGATGATGAGGTTGATTATGTTACATCTCATTTCTAATGCTCAGATTATAAAAAAAACAACTTATATACAGTGTAATCCGGATATAAGAGACCCTGATATAAGTGAAACCCGGATATAAGAGAGATTTTCTCTGGTCCCAAATTAGAGCCTGTGTTGATGTACACATATAGACCAAACCCGGATATAAGAGAAACCCGGATATAAGAGACTTCTTCTCCGGTCCCGACAACTCTCTTATAGCCGGGTTACACTGTATATATCAATGTATGTATGAACGTTCGTCTAATAACTTTGTGGAAAGAAAAATAATTGTTTTTAAATGGCTTAGGTTAGTCGTTTTCAAAACTTTTCTTGCAGCTGCAGCGTTAGCTTCAGGTTACACGTTTAGTACTCTTATATAAAGAGAGATTTTTGGGAGGTTAGGGGGCGGCATAGGTGTATTGCAAATTTCAAACAGCAACTTGTACTGTAAACACACATAAGCATTTCGACTTTTCGTACATGCCACTTTATGTAGTGGATACCGCCAGACGAACATCCGTGGTTATATCGCTACAATTACAAACCAAGAGCGTTGGTGCCTGCAGATATTGGCGCTCTGAATTTGACTTATGTCCATTTAATGTGAACAAAATAAGAAAATTCGGAGATTTAACTTCGTATCAGAAAATAAAAATACTAAAAAAAGGCAGAATAAAACAATGCATTCTTCTGTATAAATAAAAATGACGAAGACATCTAGCAATTTTATGTTTGTAAATCCTGAACTGCAAATGAATAAATAAATAATAAAAAAATAAAATTGTGAATCTCTCACCCTGCGTTATTCCTCAAGTGAAACATTCTTTTATTTATTTATTCGTCAAGTCGATTCGGCTAATCTATGGTTTCTTGTCAACTCGACCAAACAGTGGTGTTAACCGACATTTGACAATCTCTCCAAATTCTACTGTTTGCTTCATTCGCTGTTCTGAGCTTCCCAGTTTCATCCGACTGCAGTTTAAGAATCTACTTCTAATCGATACTGACTTAAAACCAGATCAATCAACACAGAACTTCGCGGCTGGCATTAACATTTGAACAAATGTCTCAAGTGGGAAGCCGATCTGGATTTCTTCTTGATCTCCGACCCATGAGTCTCTTCATATCACTTCTTGCGTATTTGATATCCGAAGACTGTTTCAAGAAGAAATCTCCCAGGTACCCACCAACCTGCTCACTCTACTTCAAAGAGCGTTTGAAATCCTTCTGTGGTAGCCTTAATTAAATTAATTAAATGCCCCCTTCTTCATAACACGAAAGACCCCACGCGCACACGGACACACTGGTTAATTTTCTTTCTTATCACCTCTGACAATAGCGTCAGTGGCTAACAAAGATGCATAGATATACGCAAGAAAATGCACCCTTCACATGAAAGCCCAGACGAGCTTAACTTTTAAAATATATTGCAGTTCAACTATAAATTCTTATCGAATGATTTCCATCTTTATCATATAATGAAATGTAGTAAAGGAAAAAAAAAAGCAAGAACATTTGACCTTTTGAAAACAGAGTGAATGGTCATCAGCAAAAGGGACAGCCGAAGGTAAAAGCTACCTTATGGGAACTTCCAAATCAAACATACCCTGAAATTCAACTATCTGGATATATATATATATATATATATATATATATATATGTTAAGAAATGGACAAGGTCCGACAATTTATTTATTAAAGACATTTTTATGTTTAACGTTGTTATTTTATAGATACAAGTATTTAAGCAAATGCTCTGTTTATGATAAACAGTATTAAATAACATTTACCGGCCTGAATGTCCGAGAAATTTTCATAGAAAATATTCGTTCTTTGACAGGATTCGAACCTGCATCCTATACGGAACCGTCATATACGCTGACGTGCCTTGACTGCTCGGCCACAAAGAACCTTACGGTAGACAAGGTCGAATTTACTGTTTATAAACTTAAAGACATTTTTATGTTTAACGTTGTTATTTTAATAAATAAATTGTCGGACCTTGTCCATTTCTTAACATATGACGTCATTTGTTTACATTCGATACGCCAGAGCAGTTATGAATGTACGAGATTCATGGAAGATTGAAGTTTAACTGTTTATCATAAACAGAGCATTTGCTTAAATACTTGTATCTATAAAATAACAACGTTAAACATAAAAATGTCTTTAATAAATATATATATATATATATATAATTATTTATTTAAAAATATAATTCCTTCGTTACATAAGAGTTCTCATGTTTCAAAACAAACTTCAATATAATTATCTTAATTAAAGTACCAAGCTCTGTTCAATCTTGTTTTGGAACATGAGAACTCTTATGTAGCGAAGGAATCATATTTTTAAATAAATAATTATATTTTGGCTCTACTTTTGTATCGATCATTGTTTTTTAAAAATAAAAACAAAAATACTAAAGAACTTTGGATTGTTTACCTAACGAGTTCTTACCTATTTTTTATATATTTTCACACACACACACACACACACACACACACACACACATATATATATATATGCATGATTTACTAAAAACGACAGACAAGGTTCTACGATTAAACTTACTTTTTATTTAATTTTTCTTGTGTTCGAACAAGTGTTTTCTTTTTGGGACACAGGGTGTATAGAAACTGTTCTATAATTCAGAGCGCTTACGGCTATACATTTAGCCATTATTAAGCATGATTTTATTTATTTAGTTTAATTGAATGTGTGCGTTATGTGTATGTTTTTAGTGTTATAGAGATTTTTTATTCTCCATTTTGCATAAATGAAGGATTGCTGCATATATACACAATATATATATATATATATATATATATATATATATATAGTTAAAAATGAAGGATTTTGCAATAGTTCGCGTGAACCGTTTACTAAAATTATACGTTAGCAGAACCTGCAAAGTTCTCCTGACCATTATATGCTAAAAAATTAGGTATGTAAAAAAATAAATGTGAACTGGTTTCTAATTTCATATACGAAAAGACGAAAAAATTTGTATATGAAAAAGAGAGAACATATTATATATATATATATATATATATATATATATATATATATATATATATATATATATATATATATATATATATATAGCTTCACCATTGCGTGGCATATCTGCAAAATATCGTGAATAGACAAAAGTTTCTCTTATTTTTCTTATTAAAATGTTTTTCTATTGTGCATTCAGTCTCTACTTTCCAAAAGAGAGAGGAAGCTTGGCCCACACATACATAGCTTCGTGCGTCAGTGAATCGTGAGCTATCTGTTCGTTACACAATTAAGTTTCCGACAGCAACTTCTTAGTAGAAAGTAATAATCTACAAAGTGTAGTAAAAGCAGTCGGTGCGGAAAAACAGAATCGGTGAACCGCTTTCGATTTCCACTTCAAGATGTTTTTTTACATTTACTTCATACTATTCTCTTTGTAGAAATTACGAAACTTGTTTTTTTATGTGGTTTCTGTTCTTGTTATATATTTTGGCCAAATCCTGCCCACGAATATATGCCACAATATTAAACAAAAGAAAAAAAAAAGGAAAATACTAAATTGAGTGGACACGGTAAAAGACTATTGTTTCCAGTGTCAACCTTGACATGTGTCAATATTTCATCACAGGAATTTTTACGAAAAGAAATTGGATCTGGAAAAGAAGCCTAGCAGCTGAAAATGTTTACGTATTTTCTGACGACGTCAGTATTCGAGTTCAGGTAATAAGCCAGGATTTGAATGCTGATTTTCTAAGCTTCCCTGCGAGTAAGACTAATGTAACACAGTCTATTTAACCGTCTTTGAGCTTCATGTACTGAACCAACCGTAAAACATCGATAGAGGTGGATGTCGCGTCAGTGTTTCCAAAATCAAAAACATTCCAGGGTTAAGAAAGAATTTGGTTTGATTGAGCCGTTTTTCCCGGTTTATCGACCCTTTGCTGGTTACTTAAAAGTCAAAAAATAGTTTTAGATTGCAAGATCTTGTGGGGATAATAATAGTTTACTGATACACGTCTTACTAATTAACCCATAGTTGGGGGCAGAAGGTAGATTTATACCTTTCCTAATGGTGTTTGCGCGTTAGTAGATATAACGAATCGAACGAGAACTGAAACTCAGCTTTCCGATTAACAATTTCGAGTCAGTATACATTATACCACCCGCATATCCACGCATACAGCACCTGATTGTCCCAAGCGGTCACCCATCAAGGTACTGATCAGGTTCGGCGTTGCTTAACTTCGGTGACCATACGGGAACTGGTTTTTCAAAGTGATGTGTTCGTAGGCCCTTAAGAAAGTAGAGAAGACCGGGAGTCAGGTTTAATAGCAGAAAGCCCCGTCAGAAATTAGTTTATGATTTGTTCTCAATACACAGCAGATTCTTCCACATTTTTGATACAACAACACCTATAGATTTTTATTTGTTTCGATCTTGAGAATATTTCATAAGTTTCAGAATAATCAGAAGGAAAAAAAAAAAAGTTAAAAATTCTCTTTCATATTTTTTCGGCGGAAAAAACAAAACAAAAAAAAATTCTTTAAACGTGGAAACGAAAATTTGCATTTCCGCTGGGCCGTAGACGTTGAAAATGAAGATGATTACGCTTTTGATAAATAATATTTAAATAAGTTTTTTTGTTTTCTCCATCCTTTCTGGCAAAACGTAATTACTTTCCCAAAGTACTAATATAGTTTCCGCCTCTTTCTACATTCGCTGCTTTTAACACTGTTTCGGCCGATATATTATTAAACTTTCCTCGGGTGCATTCGGTATCTTTTAAATGTTGCTGAGTACATTTTTCTTTTTATAGCCTCACCTAGAACCCTACAATCCAATTAAGTCACAAGACTGCGACGAAATCTCGGGTTAACGCGAGAACAGACGAGATTGGAAAGGCTCCGTTCTGTCTGCTTTATTCGTCGGGTATTTTATAAAATGACGTTTCGCTTTTCAGTAAAGTCTATTGCAGAGCTGGGGTAAAAAAATATGTCTGTGTGTACTGAATTCAATACATTTAGCAGTTTTGCACTCTGTATGGTCTGGTAAACATCTCCCCACACACGCAGGCACAGACATACACGGATACACACACTCGTATACATAAAAACTCACATACATACACACACGCACTAAAACACGCCCGCACATACAAAAACACACATACACACAAACAGGCACACACAAAAACTCTTCTTTATTTCATAGCAAAGTTCAAAGCAAACAGTTTAATCTGTTTCATTCGCTGCCAGACAGAATGTTTGGGAGTTTGAATCGATTTAAGATAGTCTTACGCAAAAATACGAAATAAATAAATTTTGATGTTGGTAGATTCTGCAGTGTTTTGGAACTTCTTTTGCTTCTGGCTGAAGTTAGTCTCACCAAATCAAATAAGTGGGACTTCCTTAAATATTACCTCACGAAAAAGCTGGAGATTCAAACAGATACTGACAAAAGATAAATTTCTTTGAAAACAAAGTAAGAATGAAGGCAAACGTATAACAGACAGACATAGAAATAATGACCAGTGACACTTCTTTGCTGCCCATCATTTTAAGTTCAACGCCGCCCATATATATGGAAATACCGAGTCTAACATTAACCGAATCATTCAGTATTCATTTGAAATTTATGAAATCTTTTTATTAAAAAATTATCAGGAAAATAGATTTCTCAAGTTCAGTAATTGTTATCAATCCTTCCACTACTGATAGGGATTTTCTTCCTAACGTTTTGTTCGAAGTAGTGTGGAAAACTATTTACATTATTCGGACTATTGTCCTCATCTCTGTCGCCATATTTATTACAATGTTTCGGCCGTTGTACGCTCCGGTCTTCTTCTGGTGGTTGGAATGTCGAACTGAACTCTTTATTTCGCTCACTGGAGTAGACTGTGGGTTGGGACGGTGAATTTTTAACTTCATATATTTTTTTTAAATTTGCCGCCCAATATATAGAGACGTCACAGCTTAGCCACTTTAATTCAGTTTTCCCAGCGATTTTGTTGTTATTGCTGTTGTTTTTATTAATCTATTTTTTACAGCTTATCAACCATTTCGCAGGTTATTTAATGCCATAAAATATGTTTACAATGTAAGAATTTCTTTTTGGGGAGCGGGTGATAATAATGGTTTTTCGTTAAAAGTTTTACTAATTAACCAGTATCTGGGGGAGGGTGAAGAGGTGCATTCATACATTTCCCAGGGGTATTAGTTCCTAAGTCAATATAACGAACATAGTTTAAATTGCAATAATTTTTTTTTGGTGGTGGTGGTGGGGGTTATAATAATTTACTGATACAAGTTTTACTAATTAATTTGTTTATGTAATGGATGTTGGGATTATTATGGGTACATTTTTCTTTTTTTGTATGTGCAATATAGATGTTTGGAACCTATCCCTCCTACTCCTTACCAGTGTCAGGATAGTGTTTTGAGGTTTGGCATTCCATTGCTTAACCACGGCAATATGCAGTTCTCAGAAGTTGGCAGACAATGGGCGTTTTAACTAGTTTCCAAGACGTTCTGTCGGGATCCGGCTATTTGGCTGGCCACTTAATGTATGAGACATCGACATCTTGGAAACGTGTGTTAACGATGTGAGTAGGATCAGGAGTAGCATTATTATTTATAAAAGTGATGTTTTCATCAGGGTAGGGATAAATAGTACAATTAGACGTTTCCATACAGGAAAAAAAAACTGACATTCACTGACCGAAAAGATACTCAATCAGAATTCATAAAATCTTTTTACTAAAATAGTTTCTCCTGAAACTATATTTTTCAAGATCATCGTTACAGCTCTTTTATATTATATTTAAGTTTCCTTCCAAACCGTATGTTTAATGCCATGTGGAAAACCAACTTTTTGATTATATCGTTATTTTCTGTTCTTTGCAAACAATTTTCCTGTTTGAAGTGTTCAGTTGATGTATTTTATGTCATTTGGCAAAGGTCTTTGTTTATGATTGTCTAGCGTCATTCTATAGGGTTTGATGAACGATTTTTTTCTTTAAGTATGATTTTTGTGGGTAAATGCTATCCGATTGAGAAAACTGACCAATGATGATCCTATCAACAACCACCATGTTCGGTTTTCTATTGCTGGTTACTTCATCGCAGTATGTTACACTGCTCCCGCAAACTGGATGGTTTGGGATCATATTAACTGTGGCATCATGCTCACTACTGCATTCCTCATACCAACTGATAACAATTGTTTTTAGTACAGAAAGAATTATAAGTAAACAAGTCTCTCAGCCGTTCTGATAATGTTTAATTAGAATGTCTTGTAGGCGTGTCTGGAGATGTAGATCTGTTTCTGGCTTTGGAATGTTGTAGTGTGTATTCCCCGCAGGTCACAAAATATGCGGAAGAATGGAGCCTGTCTTGACAGTCATGTCCTACAAAGATTGGTTGCTGACTATGCGTTCTATTACGTCTGCACATTTTCAGACGGTGATATCACCGCATTTTGCGCGGATGACAGGAAGTAGTTTTTAAAGACACTGGGTTGACTTCCAGACACTTCATTAGCACACGGACTCAAGTGTGTATAGGATATTTTCCAGACCTCATTAGACCTTCTCCGCAGTCAACGCCCAACAAACAGAAGTCTGTTACTGAGAGTCCTCTGAATGCGTCTGTTTATATTTGTCAGATATTATCATAATGTAGGCAAAATTGACTATCTCTCAGGATATATACAGGATACGAAGGATAAATTGTTGCCATTTTATATTTTGAATTTTGCACATGCGCATTGTTTGTTTTTGATTTTGCCGACTGCACAATATAGTAGGGTCGACTGGGTACTCACTATCAGTGAGAAAAAGAGCACCATGACGCAATTCAGAACGCCAGAAAATTAGAAAAGGTATGCTGTACTGCTTGACATCGCGCCAGAAGCCCCAATACGAACATTTCATTGTGTTTGGGCGTCAATCCGAGGACAGTGCTGAGGATTCGAAAAGAGTTGGATGATATATCCAGTCAATATCATGGTATTTTTGAGTGATCTCTAATGATGGCAAGGTTATGACTCCATTCATCTTCCCACAGGGCCTCAGACTCAACACGAAGGCCTACATCACGTGACTCGAGGAGGTAGTGCTGACCTTGGTCAAGAGGGTGTTTGCTGGAAAACCTTGTCTGGCAACGGGACTCCCCAGCATGCCACACAAGCAGGAAAGCCCAGTTGTGGCTGTCAGACAATTTCTGCGACCGACATCACCCCTTACATCTGGCCACCTAACTCCTCAGACTGGGGCACAGTTGAGCGAAAGACCAACAAAACTCCTTGTAACACCAAAGATGAACTGAAGGCAAAGATTATGGCAGCATTCACCAGCTTAAACAAGGAAGTCGCCTAGAAGAGTTGCACGAGGCCCAAAGTCGTCTGGAGGCCATATGGTTGAAGCCCATAGCGATTTTATCGAATCAATTTACTTTTTAGTATTTAAAGATATTTTTGTGTAATTTTCATCAAACCCTGGAGTGCAATGGGTAAATTGTCGCCATTTTATATTTTTTTAAATTTCGCGCATGCGCGTTGTTTGTTCTTGATTTTGTCGACTGCAGAGTATAGTTGGGTCAGGTGGGCACCGTTTGTGAGAAAAAGTGCGCCATGACGCAGTTCACACCACCAGAAAATTGGAAACGGCATGCTGTACTGCTCGGCATTCACGCAGGAGGCCCCAATACGAACATTCCAGAGTGTTTGGGTGCCAATGAGTGGGGTGCAGCTGAGCGAGAGATCAAAAAACTCTTTGTAACACCAAAGATGAACTGAAGGTAAGTTTTATGGCAACATTCGCCAATTTAAACAAGGAGACCGTCCAGAATGCAGAATTTTCCGAAGTCGTCTGGAGGCTGTGGTTGAAGCTAATGACGATTTTATTGAATAAATGTCCTCTTTAGTATTTTTTGTGTCATTTTGGTAAATACATCTGTTAAAATTAGATGTCAGTGTTATTTTCATTTTTGTATAATTTAGTTAAACTATTATGTAAATTTCTGTTTTTTAATATAAACATTTTAAATAACTTATTTGGTGGTGTGAAATGTTATTATGCAAGTCTGGAGTCGTTAACCATATTGTAAATAAATATATAACAGCGATGTTATTTATATGTATTTAAAAAAAATCTGTGATATATATTGAGATCATAAAATATAATATCAACAGAGAAACGAAATATTTTAAAGTTATTCAATAATTGAAACACAATGGATAAATTAAAGGCCAATTCAATGATGATGACAGTGCCAAGATTAATTCA